CGCGCGCGGGTCGCGCTGCACCTCGCTCGCGTCCTGGCACCGGTCGGGCCGCCACTCCAGGTCCGATGACAGGCTCACAGGGTACCTGCAAGGGTACACACAGCGCGGTGATTGGACCCCAGGAGGGGTGCCTTCGGGTGGGAGCCGAGTCGCCAATTCCTGTCTGCCACTCACAGGTCTGCTTTCCATTCCTTCCCAGTTCCCCCTGCCTCAGCCCCCTGACCCCGGGTGGGAGGGTGATGGGACAGGAAATTGTGAGCCTTGAGGGTTCAGCTGGAGGGACTGATTGTTCGGCTAACCCTTGTATTCTTTTGTCTTTCTTCCAAACCCTACAAATATTTCACTATGTGCCAGGGACTAACTGTTCTAGGCATTACTGGATACAGCAAAACAAAAANCAAACTTTGATGTACACACAGATCACGAGGGTTCTTGTTAAAATGCAGATTTGGATTCAGTAGATCCTAGGTGGGGCCTGATATTCTGCATTTCTAACAGGCCCCAAGCTAATGCTGCTACTAGTGATCCTTGGACCTCACTTTGAATAGCAAGGCCCCAATGACTGCTTCTCCACCTTGGCTCAGATTGGAATCGCATGGGGGAATTAAAAATAAAATACCATGCCTGCCTCCCTGTCCCCCACCCCATTCTGATTCAGTAGGTCTAGGATGGGGCCTTGTATCAGCATGTTTAAAACTCACCCAGGTGATTCTAAGGTATAGCCAGGACTGAGAACCCCTGCCCTAGTTGGTCTGGTCGAGTGCCCTGCAGTGCCCTGCATTGACGCAAAGCAGGTGAGGCCTTCGGAAAGATTACAGACATCCTCAGGAGAGGCCAAAGATCCTTGGAATTCTGCCCTGTGTTGACTGCCCCACAGCCATGGAGAGTGAAGTCAGCTAGCCAAGAGCAAGTGAAGGGTAGATGGACAGGCAGGCGGGCCATCCGCCCTGGGTGAGCCCTCCCCTCCTTGTGCCAGGTGCTCTATGCAGACCCATGGTGGGGGGAGGCAGGGAGCACAGAGGAGTCAGCAGCCAGCTGCTCCCTGGGCAGGAGGCCTGGTGCTCACACAGGATGGACAAACCAAGGACAGGCAGGCTTGGCTGTGTGAAGGGGCAGACCAGGCAGCTGCAGTCCCTGGATTGTGGTTTGAGAGGCCTCAGTACTGCCACCTCTGGGTGATGCCATTAGGGCAGGAATCACCCCCAGAGCAGAACCCTGACCGCTCTCTTGAGTGGTCTTGAAACCTCAGCGATTTCTAGGAGATTGAGCTTGTGAAGATCCTAACCCTTGGCCTCTTAGTGCCAAGTGCCAAACACACGAGGGGTCTCCAAAAGTTCATGAAAGACTCATATTATCTTTCAATCCAATTTTTCAACTTTTTGAACCACCCTTGTACATTTTGTGTACATATCTGTAGTGTCCATGGCAGCCCTGCAGACTTATGATATCACTCCTTTATAGATGAGGAAACTCACATTCCGAAAGGTTAAGTAGCTTGTCCACAGCAGCAGGGCCTGTAGGAAAGGCCTTGGCACGGCCTCT